CTTTGTCTTCCCCCAAAACTCATGTGTATTAGATCCTTTGAGGCTCGACGTAAGTGAGATAAGGAAATTCCCAATGGGCCTCTGCTCCCTCACTCCTCCGAGTTGATTTACATGATCCTGTGACTTTCAGGACAGTTATGTCTTTTATGGCATGTGACCTGGGGTTCACATGAAGTTCTTTGAATCCGTTTTGAGCATCTGTGTCTGTCCATATCCTACAACATACAGCATTTGCTTGAACAAATTAATATATGACGTTGGTGTAAATGAACACACAGTCAGTCTTGCATCTCCAGATGACCCCACATACCCTTTGGCCTTTGATCTCTAAGCAGAATAGGGAGGAGAAGGGGTTGTTTTTACCCAACTGAGTGCACAACAACGAAATGTCTTCATCTGGTTGTCAGTCTTCACTGAAGCATTCATCTGTCCCCTTGGGGCCCACTGACTTCATGAGGCACCTAAAACAATATGTAGTAGGGTTTTTCAGACTTGACTTTTAATTTTTATGCAGACTTTCACATTATCTGCTTCTTATGCTGTCTGTTATTCTTTTCTTTTTTCTTTTTTTTTCTCCTGCTGCAGTGGGGTCCAAAATCCTGACAGCACCTATGAAGATGCTTCTATTTTCCAATAGTTTTAATTGTATATGCAGTATATCGACTTAGCAATGAAATGTTCAGTCTCAGAAAACTGTATATAATTTCTGGAATATCTTTGTATTTGGGGGCTGTAAGGTGGGGCATGGTTAGCATCGTTGCCTTGCAGCAAGAAGGTCACCTATTTGCGTCCCGGTGAGGACACCCGGGATCTTTCTGTGTGGAGTCCGTATGGTCTCCCCGTGCAGCGTGGGTTCTCCAGCTTCCTCTCACAAGGTCCAAAAACATGTTGAGGTTAATTGGTGATTCTAAATTGTCCATAGGTGTGAAGGTGAGTGTGCTTGGTTGTCTGTCTCTAAGCGTAGATCTGCGATAGACTAGTGACCTGTCCAGAGTGTCCCCTGTCTTTGCCCTAAGTCAGCTGGGATAGGCTCCAGTCCCCACGAAACCCCAGTGAGGATTAAGCAGTGTATAGATTAGAGATGCGCCGATCCGATACTGGGTGTCCTTATCGGGCAGTTACTGGACGAAATTACGGTATCGGATGATTTGCTTCACAGTGGTAACTGGCCGATCCGATACCGCCACACACACACACACACACACACACACACACACAATCCTGCCTTCCGACACATCCACGTGTTCGTCTGCTCATTGGCTACAAGTTTACAGGGTCAGAGAGTGTCTGCAACCGACTGGTCGGATCTACAAGGGTGGAACTTGTGCGTACCGGGTTGACTGTCTGAGACACTCCGTTGGCTCTTCAGGCTGTCACTCACCCCCAAAGCCCTCGTATTGGCCAAACTAGGTGTCAATCAAAAGCTGAGCCGTCTGTCTAGCTGAGCGATCTGAAATAGATTCAGCCTGATTTTGCCAGAAGAAATGAATAAAACAGCCGGAGCTGATCTCAAGCTGGGAAGACATTACTTTGAATTTGTGCCTTTGAGGATCTAATACGTTTTATGGACCAAATTATTTTACGGGATTATGTTCACTGGTTCTGTCCGGACAGAATGAGACCAAGCTGGTGAGGAATGACCGATGTTTGAGCTGGCAGAGAGCCTTCAAAACTCGGATTTTAACATTTTGCTTTTCTGTACAAAAAGCTCTTTGTGTCAACGCTGTGGTTGCTGCAGGTCAAAAAGGTTTATATCATCGGAAAGAGGAGACTCTGAGCTTTCATTTGATGTGTATATTGTCGGGAAACTTGATTGTGGAGCGAGCACATATGGCTGCAATGTTTTTGGAAAGTGGTCACGTCCCGACCTGACTGCAGCCGGTGCTGTCCCCGAAGCCGCAGCAAACCACGCCCCCTACACACCACGCCCCCCGGCCCCTTACATACCATGCCCCGCCCATTAATACCTGACTGCAGCCGCCGGTGCTGTCCCCAAAGCCGCAGCAAACCACGCCCCCTACACACC